CGTGAGGAGAATGGGAAGACCGGAGGAAAAGTCAGTCCACGCCTTTTCTAGAGGGAAGAAGGCACACTTACATATTCCAAGATGGATATCTTCCACTTGATGAGGTAAATAACTCGCCGTGCGAGGTAGCTTTCACCCAATGAATTGAGAGAAAGGGCGGCGCAATGAAGTGATAGATGTTGGGAATGACACGACTGATCAGGACAACCCTTCGCCGGTGGGCTGCTCGTCGTTCAACTGAGGAAACAGACGAGAGGATGTCGGGCTATTGAGGTCCTTTTCTAAGGTGAAAGCCGTGATCCAAGCAGCTGTCGGGATGATGAGATAATACTCGCTTGCTCGAATGTAGATGAAGCGCGGTGTTCTGGTAGGATGTAGGATGAAGAGGTCTAGTCAACCTGCGACTGGTGGTGACGGCACACACCAACAGATGAGAGCCTCGCGCGGTCAGGTGTGAGCAAGTCGAGGAGGGTAATGGTGTAAGTGAGTCGTCGCTAAGGCTGAAGCTGACCGAGATGGAAGACTGATGTGATGTAGACGCAAGTAGATGCTGTCTTCAATGTGAAGGTCGTTGGTGGTGAAAGTTGCGGTCGAAGCTGTCAAGACATCTCCTCCAGGCTGTCGTAGCGTGTTGGCAGAAAAAAACTTTCATCCCCCCAATGGGGGCCTTGAATTACCTCTCCCCTTCGATGTCCCTGCCCCGTCGTCGTCCCATTACCCGACGATGCTGCTGCCAATTGCTCCCAGCACCGACAACCCTCCGCTGCCAGTTGCTCCCAACACCGCCAACCCTCCACCCACCACTCGACGCCGACATCAACAATACCTCCCAACCACCCCATCAATCCCTAATGTCTTCCATCATCCCCCTACTGTCCCAATGACTCCTCCATCCTGCTCCCCCATATCACCCACCGCCACCCATCCATCTCACTCGAGATCCAACAACAACAGCACTGCAAAGAAAAGCCCACATACCTCCTACTACGCTCCATGATATCAATATATCTCTTCAATTCCGTAATCTTCAAACGTTCGTTATCAAAACAACACAAAAACAATATCAAGAAGGTTCAGCCTCGCAGTCAGCTCTTCCCAAATGTCGTTCAAGAAAGCCAGCAGCGCCCCACAATTTTTCTCTGTGTCCAGCGTGGCGCGCGCCGCCGACGCGACGAGGCACAGACGCCGCCAAGAAAAACCTTTTTTATCTGATAAGCCTTTCTGTTGCACCTGAAAGGGTTAGGGTTCTTGCCATTCCCACACCCAACACCTGTGTAATCACGGTTAACTTATACCTTTCAAAAAGAGAAATATACCTCGAAAGATGGCCTTTTGACTTTCTTTTGCAGCACCAGTGATTTCATCCACAGCTTGCCAAAAACACCCGTCCAACATCACCACGCATGATTGCAAAACACACAAAACCACCACATCATAAAAAACACAACAGACGACTCAATACTAGATCCAGTATACACTTAATCCCAAATATTACCCTCGCTGTACTAGCAAACACCACCTTCCACATCCCTCCTACCCCCATCCGTTAAAACCAAACTTGCCTACGCTGCGGTTATCCACCACCCCAGCCACTCCTCGCTCTCTGATGGAGGGGAAAAAAACCAAGAGAAAAAAAAGAAAAAAAAGACAAAAAGAAAAAAAAGAAAAAAAACCAACCCCCTCACCCCCTCCTATTCCCCTCATCCTCCGTCGTCTCCCCCCCGTGAAGCTTCCTCGCCTGCTCAGCAATAAACCGCAGCACATCCTTAAAATGCCTATCCATCATCGGCGCCAACCCATTCACCTCGCTCCTGATGGCATTCCCGAACCGCCTCTTCATCACCTTCCTAGTAAGATCCGGGTCCGACCAGCAGGCGTGGTCGTTGGCAACATAGACCTGTGAGTTGTCCTTGTACCATGACGACAAGTCCTCGTCCACGTCCGACTTGACAGGCCGGAGACTGCCGTCCACAAAGTTTACTATGCCAGCGATTCGGTTGCGGACGTCTGTATCAGAGTTAGCAGTGTGGTAGTCGTGAGATATGGAGGGGAATACTCACTTCTGTTGATCAACAGGACCTTGATCCCGAGGTAGGCATTACCCACCCCCATCAGGTAGATCTCGTCTGCCCCGTCGTAGAGCTGGAGGTAGTTGTCCCAGATGTAACACATCAGCTCTTGAAGATGCATTTGGAGAGTCTTCTCGTCCATTCTCGGCGTGAAGTGCTCCGTGTCGTCTGTTCGGGTAATGTAGTGGGGGACGTTGATATCAATCACCCCAAAGTCATTGTTGCAAGCCCAGTCAATGTACTTGGCCACACCATCAGACTGCACAAAGTTAGTCATCTCTCCAGGTTGCTACAAGATACAGGCAAACTCACGACCCAAGAATTGTGTGGCTCGAGAGAGTTATCAAGGGGATCCGGCTGCCCATGCAGCTCGGGAGGGTCATGTACAATCAACAGCAGCTTCTTCGCGGACTGCACGCCCTTCGTCACCAACACTTGGTTCTCAAATGACCTAAAGATGATGTCTCGTTGGATATACAACGGGAGCATGCCGTACTTGGATAACTTCTCTTTTTGTGATGATCTGATCACGTCGTGCAGGCGAGACGAGTCGTTCTTGGTCATCTCTGTAACGTCGATGATGCCCGGCCGCATGCACTCCCAATAGGGAGCCTGGTAAGCTTGGACCTTGGCCAGGACTTTGCTGGCTTCCTTGCTGATTCTTGGAATCTGCATCTGCGGGGGTGGTTCGCCCATGAGGGTTTGAGCGACAGCCAGGGCCGATTTGGAGATGGCAATCAGATTGTAACCACCCTCCAAACAAACGGCAACCTTGCCGCCCGCCAGAGACATCAACATGTGTGTCATGTGAGCGTAACAGGCAGGCGACACGAAGCAAGCGCCGAGCTCATCTCCGGCGGCAGCATCGAAACCGGCAGAAATGATAACCAGGTCGGGGTTGAACTCGTGGCCAATTGGCATAACAATCTTTTGGAATGCCGCCATGTACTCGCCATCGCCCATGCCCTGGTCGTGCCACGCGATGTTGATGTTCTTGCCGAGCCCGTTTCCAGCACCGCATTGCTCCATCCCGCCATCCGGAATCATGGGGTTATCAGGCTTTCCTGGGTAAAAGTCTCCGTTCTTGTAAACATGCAAAGATATGTAGAGAATGTTGGGATCCTCGTAAAACATGTTCTGAATGCCGTTGCCGTGGTGGACATCCCAATCGAGAATCATGACGCGGCGGCAAATGTCGGGGTACTCCTTCTGGCAGACTTTGGCCGCAATCGGTACGTTGTTGAACAAACAGAAACCCATAGGCTGGTCGTACTCGGCGTGATGTCCTGGTGGTCGGATAACAGCGAAGGCATTCTTGACGGTGCCGGTAACGACAGCCTTGCAGGTTTCGATGGCACCACCGGCCGAGATCAGAGAGGCCTCGTATGTCATACTACCAACATAGAGGGACTCACGACCTTGGTCCATCATGGCTGAGATATCGCGGAGTTCGTGCGTGGTCTTGGTGGACAGAGCCTTGACCCAGTTGAAATGTTCGACTCTATGAACAGTACGGATCTCTTCTTCTGTCGCTTCCCTTGCAGGAATCCTCCACATGTAGCTGGTTGGTCTGTTGTTAATGACATCGATGAGCTCGGCATCTGTTCCCGTAAACAGGAGACCGTGCTTTTTGAAGATCCTCATAATGACCTCGATACGCGATGGGTCTTCTGGGTGGTGAGGGTTTGGCCCGAAATCCGCGTTGGCATGGAGCTTCATGCGGTCATCGTAACAGCAACCGGTTGGTAGGATCCCTTTTCGTCGGAAACGTTCAGGATAGCCAGGCTCGCCACTCTTGGAAGATGTCCCTTCGGCACTGCTGTCGGCGCTGTGGCCGTTTGGTGTCTCCAGAGAGCTCCCTCCCGACTTGGACGTTGGTTCTGAGTAGCCATTGGCGGACTGTATAGAAGGCGCATCCGCGGTCCCATCCATCACAACATCTTGGTCAACGTCCATGATGCCGCGAGGACCTGGCCAGCAAATGGAAGAGGCGAAGCGAAGGTGTTGTAAACTTGGCAAGTTTGTCTGGCTTTTGTTAGCGACGAGTCTTGAAGATAAACAGAGGTAGTGTCGAGGAAGGTGGAAAAGATAGGTGCCAAGGGCAAACAAGGCAGAAGGCTTGAGGATATGAGCTAGGCAGAGGAGCAAGGATATAGGGCTATGATAACCACAGTGCCCAGCTACGTGACCCGTTTCAAGTGCGTGAGATGAAATGGTCAAAGACTGGTCGGAGATGAGACGACTGGAGGCTGGCACTTGCAGCAGTCTCCCGGTCATGCCCCAAACAAACGATGCTTGCCTTACCAGATTCTAGGTAGTAGAAAATGCAAAGAAATCTCTGTTCGAGGCGATTTCCAGAATACACGTGTAGTGTAGTAACTACTAATAGTGTCGGATATTGGCTGGAAAGCCGTCGGGTGTTTGATGTTGACGGGTACGTCGAGAAGGGGATGGATCTGATATGAGACGGGATGCTGCTTGGATCTGCCAGTTGCTGCGGTGCGAAACTCCTCGCACAGAGCTCTGAGCAGGCCTCAGAAAATAACAGAATGCTAGAGACACGTACCTCGCTGAAATAATGGGATAACTGAGCTATGAAGAGCGCGGCGCATGCCTTGTGTGGGTGGTCGTGGGTGATGATGAGTGTGGTTTTGGGGTATTGTTTGGTTTCTGGAGTAAGTGGCTTAGTGACCGCTGAAGACCACTGGACCGCCTGCCACTGAGAGTCGCTACAGCCCCACCACAGAATAATGAGCAAAGCTGGAGCAAAGGCAGTTGAGGAAACCAGTCCTTTCTGTTCTTTATCGACAAAAATCACCATTTTGATCAAACTAAAAAATCTCCATGATAGACACCTTAACCAATCTATTGCACTGCAGGGTTCACTGTAGGGAAAGAGCGAGCTCTCAAATTTGGCTTTTATGGCCTCCTATGGTGGGGCCGCCACAGGTTCACCACACATTGCGAAGTGGCCAACACAGATGCTATCGCCGAGTAACTGAAATCATGATTTTCTTGGGTTTTCTGGGTTCATTGTGTGTTAAGATATATTCTATCACTTCACTGAAAGCACCAGATACCCCATCAACAACTCGACTGAAGCTGATCACCAAGAGACCAACGAATCTCGTCCTGTTCTATAACCCCAGCTACACCAATCCATTCTCAATCCGTACCCGCAACCAGTCTGCCAACCCTGACGCCCCCAATAAGAAAAATCCCACTGCCACGTATATATCGCCCGGAATAAGGCCCCTCCCTCCCCCCATCAGCACCATGAACCACCCTCAGCTCCTCACTCTCCTCCATCTCATGATCAAGCACACCTCCGTACCTCCCAGGGAACCCCTCCACCGGAAAAGGCGACCTCTCCATCCCCATCATCTTCTCCCTCTCATGCCTCACACTCAAGACGGCCATGCTCAACGCCTCGGTAGTATCCTCAATCCTGTTGTTGTCAACACTCATCCCACAGCATCACTCTAAAGATCAACTCACCAAGGCTCACTCAACCTAATCCACCTAACCAGGGGGGGCGGGGCCGGGGTCCGCCCCATTTTCCACAAAAACAACCTAAT